AGAACCTTGACTCTTCAGACTAAAAGGCACACCATGTCAGATAAAAAGGTGACAGAGAATCACAACCATTAAGACATATTCTGACTAAGTTATTACATTTCAAAGAATCAAGAATCAAGGAAAAAGTATCTAAACAGGAAAAAATTAGGACAGGGTTGGGGAGAATACAGGTGATGTCAGCCTTCTCCACAGTAAAAGGGTGTTTATAAAGTTTAGAGAAGAAAAAAAGTGTGACCCTAGAAATCTGTATCTGCTAAGGCTCTCTTCAGGAATACTAGACATTCTCAAACAAGAACTGAAGGAATACTATTGGCCCCTCTCAAAAAATAAGAAATGAAAAACTATAATCTAGAAACAGCAATGAAATGAATATTTATAAAGAACTCAGTAATTAAAAAAAGTCATGTAAGAGAACTGGTGAAATTTCTTTTAGAAAAAATAACTTGCAATAAAGAGAGACTTCATTGAAGGTTAAAGTTTAATTCTTTCAGTTGCACTTCAATGTCTTTTCTGGTAATTTCAAGGAAAGTTAAACTCTGGTAAGTTAAAACAGTATGTAGTGTCGCCACGTTTTGTCTGTCTGTGTATTCATCTACCCTGCTCTATGTATGAGCAGAGAGATGACTGTGGCATTTTCTCAATACTTGTTTGGGGGAGTGGTGGGATTCTGAATGTTTTACTTTCTTCCATGATCTTTCTTGTCTATACTGCTGTAATTTTTAACAGTAATTACATATTATTACAAAACCAATAAATTTTAACAATGTTTAAAAATCAACAAGAGTAGATACATTTAACTTGAGAGTACCTGGCTGAATGGATGACTACCCGAAGCAAGGTCTTGAAGAATTTGGGGGGAATCTCCCAGATGGTCATATCTGTAAGTGAGATCCACTTGGCTGCCTATAAGCGCTACTTTTAAGTCATTATGAAGCCAGCTGAAATAAAAACAGCAAAGTTTTTAGAGCTAAATTACTAGGTTATTGGTCTCATTAATGCTAGGTGTTACATCTTATTTATATTACAAAATGTTACAAGCACAAAAGCACTAAAAGAACATTTAACCTTAACAGGTATAATTTATTGTGACCTTTCAAAATAAAATGTTGCCAAAAATAGCCCGGCTGGGCATGCCTCAGTGGTTGAGCATCGACCTAGGATCCTGGAGATCGGGGTTCAATTCCCGGTCAGGGCTCATGCCCGGGTTTCGGGCCAGGCAGCCAATCAATGACTCTCTCATCATTGATGTTTCTTTCTCTCTCTCTCTCTCTCTCTCTCCCCCCCCTCCTTTCCTCTCTCTGAAATCAATAAAGATATATTTAAAAAAAAAAACAAAACACAAAAAGGCATTCAATGAATTTTTTATGTAAGAATGCTAACTGTATAAACAAGCTATAAACAAAGGCTAATTTTAGAATAAATGATCCATAGTTTTTACCTGGCCATAGTTACACAATAGTTATTTCCTAATTACCCACTAAAGTTTTTAAACATAGTTCATGAAAGCCCTGCCAGGTGGAATCATTTAGTACACCAAAAGGTTGCGGGTTTTGATTCCCCCATCAGGATACGTATGGGAGACAACTGATCAATGTTTCTCTTTCACACCAATGCTTCTCTCTCTCCCTTCCTATCTCTAAAAATCAACAAACAGCCCGGCCGGGCGTGGCTCAGCGGTTAAGCGTCGACCTAGGATCCAGGCGATCAGGGTTCGATTCCCGGTCAGGGCACATGCCTGGGTTGTGGGCTGCAGCCGATCAATGACTCTCTCATCATTGATGTTTCTACCTCTGTTTCTCCCTCTCCTTTCCTCTCTCTGAAATCAATAAAGATATATTTAAAAAAAAAAATCAACAAACATATACTACAGTGATGATTAAAAAATAAATAAATATAGTTCATGAAAATAAACTAAATCATTCATATTTACTCTCTATGACATGGAAGTATGGATCCAGCTCCTCCTAAAATAGTTATAAATGTGGTAACCACATATTGATTTGTATGACAGTGCTGGTTTTTTACCTGTTATCCTGGAGTAATTAACACCTCCCCCTTTCACTCTCAACAGTGTCCCAGTTTAGATAATAAATTATATGGTCAACCTATTCATATATCTCTAAAATATAAAAAAATGGAGAGGCATTCTACAAAATAACTGGCCTGTGTTCTTCCAAAAAATGCCAAAAAAAGGGACTGAGGAGTCATGACACTAATTACAATGTATGACTCCAAACTGGATTCTGGCAGGAAAAAAAATTATTCTAAAAATTTATGGGAAAATTTGAATATAAACTGTGGATAAAATTTGAATAAAATCTGAATATAAACTGTGGATTAAAGACTACTGTATCAACACTAAATACTTGATTATTTAAGAGAATGTCCCTTGTTCTTAGGAAATCCACACAGGAGTATTTAGGAATAAAAGGCATCATGTTTACAATTTACTTTCAGATAATTCAGAAAATTACATTCACAAAAATACACACAGAACAAGAATAATAAAACAAATGTGACAAAATGTAATACTGGGTGAACAGTATTACAAAAAAGAGTGTATACAACGATCATTTCAACCCTAGACGGTTTGGCTCAGTGGTCAGAGTGTTGGTACATGGACTGAAGGGTCTTGGATTCGATTCCAGTCAATGGCACGAACCTAGGCTGCAGGCTCCATACCACCTCGATCCCCAGCCCGTCGGGGGCGCATGCAGGGAGGCAACCAATCAATGTGTCTCTCCGCCCCCCCCGCCCCGCCCCCTTTCCTTCCTTCCACTCTCTCTGAAAAACAATGGAAAAAAATATCCTCGGGCAAGGATTTAAAACAAAAAACAAAACAAAAATCATTTCAAGCATCTTGACTTATTTAAAAATAAGATAAATAAAAGATCATGGGGGGAGGGGGGGACTAGATCTGTTAGAAACTGTCCTCCAATTATCTTTTGAAGTTTCACTCCCACTAACACTATTAGAAATCGGCTAAAATAATAATTTTTCATATACAGAATTATTACATAAATATTTTTAAAACTCTGAATACTATTACTAACCTCTTTCGAATTCTAGCATTAAATAGTGGTGCCTCAAAACGTGGATTTGTACCAACCAGAAGGACAACATCTGCCTCTTCCACACCAGCAATTGTAGTATTAAGAAGATAATTGGAACGCAAATCTGTGCTAGAAGTACAAAATTAAAAATGCAAGTTTACTTTAAAACTAATACACACTGACAATCCATAGAATAACCTCATCTCAACAAACCCATGGCAATCCCAGACAAAACATTTTTATGAAGTATTCCTAAATTACATCAAAGTTTCAGAAACTTATTCATAATTGAGTTCTCCAACAGTTCCTGCTTTAACTCTGATCTATATGCGAAAATAAACTGGTGGACATGTTGGAGAATCCAAGTTGTCACATTTCAGTTATCAATACTATGGATGTGTTGGCTTATACAGAACTTGAAAGGAAGAAAGAAACAAAGAAAGCAAGCCAGCCAACCTTTGATTCTAGCTTCATATTTCTTACCCAGCTCCTGCAGTGGGGAAGACCTCTTCTGTACATAGAGTGTCAGAGTCCACTCTATTAAGCAAATCTTTGAGAGCTACTAGGGCTTCAGCATCCACCAAGCCACCTGCAATTGCTGCCACATCCTTGCCTTGAAAACTCTGCAACTGGAAATGAATGCAAAGGATATCACCAAGAAGTCTTCATTCAGCAAAGATTACAATGAATTGTTCAGAAAACGAAACAGTAATTACTTTCAATTGTTACTAAAACATGAATTTTAGAAAATCTTTTTCAAGTAGAAAAAAAGCAACAAACTTCTAATAAAAAATTTTACATCAATTATTAATTAATCTAAAAGTGAGAGGCAGAGTTATATGTGGGGCCAAGGCTAATCACACCAGCTTGGAGGGAAGCTATTTGTTTTAAATTAGGAAAAAGGGGGCCTCAAAATGAGGTCTGGAGGATAAAGACTAGTAGTTATAACTAGATATAACTTTTTCTCAAGTGTCTCTATTCCCTCAAGCCCTTTATGTATGTTGAAAGCCATTCCCTCCAGCTTTGCTCTGGCAAGGCAGTATTCGTTCTTAAATTCTGCCTAAGAAGCCACCTTATCCAGGAAACTACCCTTGATATGCTAGCCTTGGTTAGGCACCACTCCTATATGCTCTTCTTATATATTATTTCCTGCACAACTACCCATAGCAGCATACGATAATTACCTAATTAGGCATCTTTCCTTACACGACTGTGGGAGATGTGTTATTGACTTCTATTTCCTTATACCTAGCACAACATCTGGCATAGTTCTCAATAAATGTTTGTTAATCTTGGTAAAAGGAAAGAATACATATCCCTTCTTCACTACAAAGATGTCACTTGAAAATCATAAATACTATTTATTCTGTATTTCAATGTTTTACCATTCCAGCTACACGAGAGAGTGCATCCTCCCAGGAGGTATAGGTTAAAAGCCCCTTTTCATTTCTGACCATCGGCTCGGTAAGTCTTTGACGTTTTAGCCCATCATAGGCAAATCTAGATAACAGAAATTACACCATTTGTGAAATCTTGCTAAAGAGGCAACTATAATTTTCAAGTTTAAAAACTAAAGTAATTATTATTTAAATACAGTATTGGTTAAAGTATCAAGTAAGATAATAAATACCTGAATACAAGTAATTATTGCAGGTTTTTTGGGAGACAAACTAATAAATATTTTATGAATATCAGCTAAAAACTAAAACACCATCTAAAAAGCATGAATTATTATAATTTATTTTCAGCTACCTGAATAATTTTTAAATTACAACACAAACATATAGCTGAAAAAGATAAATCATTTTTATTTATAAAACCTGAGCACCTCCAGATATTTTATCAAAAAATTATACTGTACAAACTCTAACTTATATTTAGCTTCTTTTCTCCACTGAACAAACTGACATATCTTCATCTACTTCAATTTCTCCATTTAGAAAGAAAAAAGATATTTCTCAAAGTTAATATGAAAACCCGTGACATATCTAGGACTATTAATGTCAGTTTTGTCCAATTCTCTACATAAATAGTCCAGATTTTAAAAGTCTACATTCACTCATTTGTAACTATAAACAATAGTTCTTTAAAAATGAAAATTATTATAAGATTCTTTAAATCAATTGCAAAAGGAAAGCAGTATAGCGTATACCTGGTTTTATCAGAGATCCACTCTTCATTAATGTCCTCATGCATTCTTGGCAAAATCCTCATGACCTCTCCAGTTCTTGTGCTTACTACAATATTACTTCCAACTGCATCCATTACATCAATGGATTCTGTCTTTCTGAGAAAATACATACATATATTTATTGCACTGACTTTATGAATAAGGACAAAGGTTCTCCTATCTATTTTACCCCAAACAAAAAATTTTACAATTACTTTCCTTTCTGAACTCCTACAAATAATGGAACTCAGAGAAAATACATTTAAAAAAATTAAAACCACCTCATATTTGAATACATCATATAAATTTCTAATGCAAAAATAAAGCCTTTAAAACTGTTATCTGAAACAGAAGCCAACTGGAAGGGCTCTAAATGGGCAAAACTGAAACAATTTGAGTATCAAAATAAATAACAAGAGGTTAGAGATTTCTGGTTTTGTTCAATTAAGGAGCTTGATGATTCCTTTCCCCAAAAAGGAAAAATAAAACTGAACAAAATTAATAAAAACAACCAATTCAACACTCTGGAAATCAACCAAAGGGATATAACATCATGAGAAACTTTATGTCTGGGAAAACTGCTGAACTTTGAATAAGAACAGTGGAAATCAGTGGTGTTCTGGCATAGGGCAGTTCTTATCCCACCTCCTACCACCTTGAACTGGAGGTTTTGCCAGAGTAGGACAGGCTAAGATGGGAGCTTTTCCTGCAGATGAAGACTCACTGAATTTGGAGCAATGAGCAAAGTTGTCTATGGAAGTGATATCATGGAGATCCTTCAGCTGAGGAGAGCCAAAGGTACTAGCCTGAGGCTGTAGCCATAGTTGGGGCAAGCACTCCTAGTGGAGGCTGTGCATATATGTGCAGCTGAGATCAGAGAGGGCCCAAGCTATTCACACATTCCTGGACAACACTGAGATTCAAAGTGCCCAGTGGAAAGCTCAAGTTGGGCTAGCTTGAAATGAGCCTAAACTTTGAATGTGCTTCTCTATCCACACAGATCCATTGGCAGAGTATGGGAGTCTTACTGGCTCAAAATATTTGAACATGATCATTATCTGATTACTAAGTTCTACAGACACAGGGTCAACTCCTAAGAAGACTTGCTTAAAAATAAAAACAAGCCTTGGCTGGTCTGGCTCTGTTGGCTGAGCACTGCCCTGTGCACCAAAAGGTCCCGGTTCAATTTCCGGTCAGGGCACATACCCAGGCTTCGGGTTTGTTCCCTGGTCAGGGTGCACGCAGGAGGCAACTAATCAATGTTTCTCTCTCTCTCTCCCTTCTACTCTTTCTATAATCAATAAAAACACTTTTAAAAAAAGTAAAAAAATAAAGACAGGAATATTAAAATATATTCAAAGAACTAAGAAAAGTCATGTTTAAAGAATTAAAGAGAAATGCGAAGACCATAAATCAACAAGTAAAAAGTCTCAGTAAGGATAAAAAAATTACAAAAAAAGAACCAAATAGAAATTCTGGCATTGAAAAGTATGACTGTAATAAAAAATTTACGATAGGGGCTCATGATGGCAAAAGAAAGAATGAATGGATGAACTTGGTGACAGATCAATAGAAATCATCCAATCTGAAGAACAAAAAGAAAAAAGATTTAAGAAAAATGAACAGTTTCTCAGAATCCTGCAGAACATCAGGAGAAGGAAACAAACTCTCTAATTACATATCTCAGTTATGTACTATTCCCTACCCCCCAATCTGTTTGTATACATAAATACATGGTTTAACACCTGGAATTTTAAGAAAACTCCCATATACTCTGATGGAAGTTTAAAATTGGAGGGCAATTTGATGACATGTGTCCAGAACCTTAAAAATATTCGAATTTGCTGCACCTACCTACTCCATTTCTTGGTTTAATCAGAAGAACCAGAGATATACTAAAACATTTATGAACGTTTATCACAGATTTGTAATTATAAAAACTAGAAACTGTCCAATCATAGAAATTGGTTAAATAAAGTATGCTATATTCACATAGTTAAAAACTTAACATACAATGAAAAGAAACTACAAATTTTTAAAAATGAAGACAATTTTATTCTTTGGAAGATCAAGTGAGTAAAATAATTTTGTAGTTAAGTAGTCTAGAATTAATTTCCAAGAAAACTACAATAACTTTGCACAGATTCATCCTATCATTCAATCTATTAACTATTTATTTTCCATCAAAAGGATTTTACTTAAAGCAAACAAATAATAACTTAGCAGACCAAAACACTTAGGACTTAAGGAAGAAAATTAATCTTAAAAATTTTTTAATAGTAGCAAATTAAAGGATAAAAAATTATCCAAAAATACAATGATGAGTACCTTGTTTCCCAAGGCCGGGCAGTAAAGGCATAGGGCTTAGAGGTCAGGGCACCTACAGGACAGATATCAATGATATTCCCAGACAGTTCAGACATAAACATCTTTTCAATGTATGTGCCAACTTGCATATCATTTCCTCTGCCTGTTGTTCCCAAATCATCTACTCCTGCAATCTCACTTGCAAACCTGCAAGATAAAAATATACCATCAAATGGTCAAATCTAGCAAAATTAACCTCCTTTCCTACTTATGATCACAAAGAGACAATGATTTTCAAAGCACACAAAAAAGATATATTTTTAAAGGTGAGCACAGTCCCTAGATAAAAAATAACCCAGCTGCTCTCCCTCTAGGGAGCACCCCTGTGCCATTCCCTTCCCACTCTCCTTCCTCCACAGGCACGTATCCCTAACCTCTAAGGAACCCCATGAGACTTGAAGCCAGGGGAGTAATGGGCAGGGGCAGCTCATCCCAGGCTAACCCCCTGAACCTGTCTCCAACCCCTTTTCTCTGACTTCCCAGTGAGCCAAAGCAGCCCAGCCTAGGCTCTTCTTCTGTCGCTTATTCTATGCCCTTCCTTGTTTCATGGTCTTATATTTTTGCTTCAGTCAATAAGTTCTTGCTTGCTTTTCTGTACTTTGTCTCTTGATTGAAATCTTTCTCTCAAGAAGACAAGAACCAAGGTCTCCTCAGATCACTGGTAAAACTACTATTTTGTGTCTTACATTCAGTCTTGTATTATACTTATTTGTACATGTTGGCTAGTCCTCATATTTTAAGCACCATAAATACAAGAACCAAAATAATAATAATCCAATAAATGTTGCATTTGAGGCACAACACACATGCATAAAATTGCACAAATCACATGTATATAGCTCAGCAAGTTATCACAGAATTAATGCTTAGAGATTTTGATTTTTAAATCCACTGACATTAACTGAAAGTGACCAACTTATTCATTTTATTGGCTGATTCAAAAAACATTAAAAACATCCCTCTTCTCCCACCAAATAAAAGTGTTGTTATTCCACCAAATTTTGTGAATATTAAGTAAATATACAAATGATATTCCAGAATGGAGGAGAATTACCTGATGCAGCGAGTACACTGTATACATCTAGTCATGATGGTCTTTACCAATGGTCCAATATTCTTGTCCTCCACAGCACGTTTCCCCTCTAAAAACCGGCTCCTATCACTTCCAAACATCATGGACTGGTCCTTAAATAGATTGCAAAAGAGTTAATCTAATGCTGCCAACAAAATTAAAACTTGAGACAACCAAAAAGATTTATGAAATTAGACTACATACCTGCAGATCACATTCACCTCCCTGATCACAAATAGGACAGTCCAGTGGGTGATTTGCTAATAAGAACTCCATCACACCTTCTCTGTATGAAAGTTGTTAATATATAAAATGGTTTATACTTATGCTCTTTAAATAAACTTCACATATGTATGCTGTCACGTAGTATTAATTTTACATTTACTATCGGAAATGTCAATGTAACCATCATTCGAATAGTATTAAATACAACCTAAAAAATGCTTACAGAAGCCTAGAATAAAGTATTAGAGAATATAAAAAATTATGACTTATAACAACACAAAATTACCAAACGTTGCTGAAAGGTCCTCAGAAAATATTCATATTAATTCAAAACAAACACAAACACACAAATATGAAGCAAAAACAAACATAATCAGCCCTAGCCAGTTTGGCTTAGTGGTTAGAGCATTAGCCCACAGACTGCAGGGTCCCGGGTTTGATTCAGGCCAAGGGCGGGTACCTTGGTTGCAGGCTTGGTCCCAGGCCCTGGTTGGGGCATGTATGGGAGGCAACCAATTGATGTGTTTCTCTCACATCAATGTTTCTCTCTCTTTTCCTCTCCCACTCTCTCTCTGAAAAAACAATGGAAAAAATATCCTCAAGTAAGGATTAAAAAATAATAAAAAAATACAAATAAAAACATAATCAGTACCAGTACAGAAACATATCACTGCAATAATCTCAGTTCAATAATTTTCTGCTCTAAGAAAAGTTACTAAGCCAAGTAACAATAATAAGTACCTGGCTTTCTTAGATTTCTCTGAGTTTGTCAGGATATTCCAACCTTTCATTACTGGCATGGCACAAGCAGCTACAACCTGGAATTTCAATGGAAACAACTGTAAGTACTTGTATTTATTTGTAATTATAAGTAACCCAATATATAAAAACATTAAATTATACTTTTGAAAACAAGCAAAAAAGAGAGTATTTTTGAAGACTGAATTTTTTAATTTTCATATTCATAATATGATAATATGGCACTCTGCACTTCTTTTAGAAACAAAGACATCCTACGTCAATTTTATTATAATTATCAATGCAATTTTTTATAAGAGGCTCTGAAACAGAACATCAAATAACTGTTTTTTGATTAGCAGGCACTACTGAATTAAAACTGCATAAGCCAAAATGAATTAATTTGAAAGTGAACCTCTTCACTGCTACCCTTTTCTCTAGTGAAAATGGCACAACATAAGCACGTCTGATGTACTCCTTGGCAACTCCACATCCTAGTTGTGTGTCATATAGCCATGTGGAAATACTGACAGTTATAAGAAGTCACCTTTAATTTCTAAATCTGTTAGAATTTTATAGCACTTGTGTTTACAAAGCACTGTCACCTAGATTTCCACTTTTGAAGAGAATCAATCGCACAAGAAATAAATTTATAGGTAGAAGTAAACAGAGCTAGATTCTCCACTATAACAACACTGACACTAAATAAAGTTTGCTCAAGATTTAAAGTTTTCTACCTTCTACAGCATGGTGTGGAATTTTACGTATCAAGTACCTTAGGAGCTTTCTCAATTTCAACAAGGCACATCCTGCAGTTTCCAGCAATTGACAATCTTTCATGGTAACAGAATCGAGGGATCTGCATGCCAACCTTCTCACAAGCCTAGAAGACAAGTAAAAAACTTTTGCATTAGAATAACCTGACCTCATTCTTGTCTTGCCTAAAACACGGGAGGGGAGGGGATGAGGCCACCCCCCCCACCTATCTTATTACTCCTATTTATAAATATCTATTATCTTCATTCATTCTTACTTCATCCCTGAAGAGGTTTCCTTCGTTTGTTCTTGATTCCAACCCATCTGCTCTGAAGCTGCCTCTTTAAGGATGTTTATACTTTATGTGTAAGAAACTAGATGAATTATCCTCAGACCGAAGGCTGAGGATAACCACTGTTCACAACTCCCCCTTCAAACTCTATCCCAGTGGTTTCATACATGGACATCCTCTTTGTCTCCTCCTTTGGATTAGAAACTCCATTTACACAGTCTAACGGGCTATAATCTGGTTCTATCTTTGGCTCCATATACCCCACCCAGTACTCACACCCCCGCTGTGACTGAAGCTCTTCTCAGTTCCTGTTTGACTAGTAAGGGGAATTAGTTCTGACCTACCAATTACCACTCCTCCTTCTGTAAGCCTATAATAAACATATTCAAATTTCCTCTAGAATTAGTTCTTCCAGCCTTAGCCCTCACTCTAAAGCAATCTCATCAATGTCCAGTATTTTATATTGCAGCCTTTGTACTATCTCACATTCTATATGATTACATCTAAACTTTCATCTGCAGCCTAGTCCTCCCTTCTCCAAGCTTTAGACTTAAATGACATTTATGCAAGTGTATGCTCCATAGAGTTAAAATTCAACCTATTTTTGTCTCCTAATACATCTCCAAATAAGCTAACAAAGAACCCACAAAAATTCCTCTGCTCTTCATCATTCCTAAAGGCCTATCTATCTCTCACTCTGCTCTGACTGCACCATCTTGTTTTCATCTACACCGCCACCATCTATTTTAGGCCTTTTTAATTTCCTGCCCACTAATGCAAGATACTTTTTCCTTATCTCTCACTCTAGTCCTGTTATTCTCCAAGCCATCGTCCTACTGTCACTGTCATAATGCTAAATAGCCACAAAAACTCCTGGTGGGTCAAACTACAAATTCTTTAGCATGGCATATATCTTCTTTCATGACTGGACCTTCTCTATCAGAATAACTATTTCCTGTTACCTCATCTTCTACATATACCTTATGTTCCATCAGTACCAAACTATGTGAAGCTTCCTTGTCTGTATCTTAAAATCTCCTCAGGGATCACCTGAAGCACCCCTAACATTTCCTTCTACCACCTCCTATACCTGCTAAAATACTCTGTACTGTACCTTGAACATGTTTTTGTTATACACTTATTGTTTACATGTCTATGTGTGACAGATAAGCTAGAAATGGTGGCTACAATGAATAAAGAGCATTTGGCTCTGTGATAATTTGCAGATGGAATGAAGCATCACTTCTGAATGAACAATTTTCTTAGTTCTGGAGGAATTTGGAGAAAATGTACTACATTCAAAAATGTACTACCCCTCATTTACTGGTTTTGGAGGTTAGAAATATACTGAAATATAGAAAGGTTATATGAAATATACTGAAAATAGAAAGGTTATATGAAAGTCAAAAGCATCAAGTAGGCTCACAACAAACAATGGTTACTTCTCCCCCTTTATTAACTAATAATTTAAGAAACTTCATATTTCTTAATGAGTATTTGTTTGGAAGGCAGAAGTGAAACAAAAGAACTGCCATAGTTCATTAAGAAAGTCAGGAACAGCCCGGCTGGCATGGCTCAGTGGCTGAGCATCGACCTATGATCCAGGAGATAGAGGTTCAATTCCCAGTCAGAGCACATGCCCAGGTTGTGGGCTTGATCCCCAGTAGGGGGTGCACAGGAGATCAATGACTCTCTCATCATTGATGTTTCTATCTCTCTCTCCCTCTTCCTTCCTCTCTCTGAAATCAAGACAGACATATTTAAAAAAAAAAAAAAA